TATATACTAATTAAATATATTACCAATTAAAATTATAAGCATATATTATTGTTTGTGTTTACATTTTGAAAATTTTTAATCTTAAAATTATTCAAATATTATTTTTTCATTTATAAAAAATATGAATTTTAATTAATTAATATTTAATTATTTATTTCTGTTTTTGAATTTTTAAATATTTTATCAAAGATAGCTTTCAGATAACAATACAATATATATATGAATTATCTGTTTAAAATAAAATATATTTTTGGATTGGGATAACTCTTATTGTTATTGTTTAAAATAACTTATCTAATAAAATAAATTTGAATTCGTTTTTATATATAATTAATTTATATAATTTATTCATTAATGGTATAAACGATATTAACCGCGATAACTTTTAACGTGGGAGCCCCGTTACGAAAAATTACTTTGCTTAAGCTTTTTATAATTATTTGTTAGTAAATATATTACTAATTAAAAATCATTTTCAAAATTTTTACTTTTATTAAAAATTATTCAATATTATTTTTTCAATTATATAAAATTAAGAATTTTAATTAATTAATATTTAATTATTGTTTTCTTTTTTTGAATTTTTAAATATTTTATGAAAAGATAGTTTTAGATAACAATATAATATATATAGGAATTATCTTTTTAAAATAAAATATATTTTTGATTTTGGATAACTCTTATTGTTATTGATTAAAATAAATTATCTAATAAAATAAATTAAAATTCGTTTTTATATATAATTAATTTATATAATTTATTCATTAAGGGTATAATCGATATTAACCACTCCAACTTTTAACGTGAGAGCTCCATTGCGAAAAATCGCTTATAAAAATTATGAATTTAATTAATTAATATTTAATTATTTATTTTCTGTTTTTTAATTTTTAAATATTTTATCAAAGATAGCTTTCAGATAACAATACAATATATATATGAATTATCTGTTTAAAATAAAAAATATTTTTGGATTTGGATAACTCTTATTGTTATTGTTTAAAATAACTTATCTAATAAAATAAATTTAAATTCGTTTTTATATATAATTAATTTATATAATTTATTCATTGATGGTATAAACGATATTAACCGCGCTAACTTTTAACGTGGGAGCCCCGTTACGAAAAATTACTTTGCTTAAGCTTTTTATAATTATTTGTTAGTAAATATATTACTAATTAAAAATAATTTTCAAAATTTTTACTTTTATTAAAAATTATTCAATATTATTTTTTCAATTATATAAAATTAAGAATTTTAATTAATTAATATTTAATTATTGTTTTCTGTTTTTGAATTTTTAAATATTTTATGAAAAGATAGTTTCAGATAACAATACAATATATATAGGAATTATCTTTTTAAAATAAAATATATTTTTGATTTTGGATAACTCTTATTGTTATTGATTAAAAGAAATTATCTAATAAAATAAATTAAAATTCGTTTTTATATATAATTAATTTATATAATTTATTCATTAAGGGTATAATCGATATTAACCACTCCAACTTTTAACGTGAGAGCTCCATTGCGAAAAATCACTTCGCAAATAATAGTATAGATGTAGGGATTTCGGGGTAAGTCTAGATTTTCTTAAATTTGACCAAGTCACGAAGTACTCGCTTACGGTTTTTGATGGCAAAGAACCTACAAGATTTTAATTAGCGGCTATTATTTTATCATATCACTAATAGTTTATTTTACAGATTGTTAAAAATATACTACAATTTAATCAGCCGTAAAAGTTCCCATTTACGCTCATACAGTTCATTTGATTCATAGATTTGCACATGCTGGACAATGGACAGTGATTAAGCTTCCAGACCGATCAACATTAATAAAGAAATACAATAGTATTAATGTTCAATGCTATTATGAAAACAATAATGAGTTATGTCATGTGAAAAGCACTCGTTTTTCATCATCTTGTACTCCATATAACATTTTGTGATTTTTTTTTTTCATTCAATAGTAAATTACTGGATAATTATAATAATTAACAGCTAAAGTCATGAAATTACAGGTATAACATTTTGTGATTTTTTTTTCATTCAATAGTAAAGTACTGGATAATAATAATAATTAACAGCTAAAATCATGAAATTACAGGTATAACATTGTCAGTGTCCACATGAAAATATTATCTTCAATTAAATGCCGATGAGCTATTTAGCTTCTCCACATGGGCATTATAATCATATACATCCACGTTAGGGTGATCGATTCTCATGCAGAGTCAGAAACATATATGCGACTAGAAGTCTAGAAGTGTGTCATGTTTGAGAATATCAATGTACTCTGTGAAATGTTGGCACATTGTCTTTTTTATTTTTTTGCATAATGTGGGCACATTTTTTCAGTCGATATTTTTTTCCCTGATCTAACAATAAACCCTTAGATTACAAATGGAGGGAGAGATCAAGACACTGATCTTTACAGTTCTCACTAGTTACCACGTTGTTGTTATGATCCAAAACTTGAACACGTTGTTGACCATAATACTCTCCTTTGCCATACTTACTTTGGTGGGATGTAGCCAACGCGACATGAGCACCATTGGATCTGAAGATTGGATGAGAAGGAAAGCAGCCAAGGGAGGTAGAAGATGGGTAGCTTAAGATGGCCAAGTGGTGTGGAGAAGGAGAAGATAAGAATAGAGGTAACGTGTGAAGAAAGTCATTGTTGTTGACGAAATCGTAAGCTCTTTTGGCTCTTCTTGCAGCTGTTCTCTCCTTCTTGTGTGCGTTCTGGTGGCCTCCTAGGGCTTGAGAACTCTGGAACTTTCTAGAACAAAAGAGGCAGGAGAATACTCTTAAAGACATGTCTTCGTCTCTTTTGTTCTCTTCTTCTACTTGATGGTGATGATCATCTTCCATTGTCTGTTATCTGTACACAGCAAAAAGGAACTAAAATAAAGATTAACTTCCATGGAGTGCCAAAACAACATGGAGAGCCAAATCAAAATGAGAAGGATTATGACTAAATATATACCTTGAGCTGACGACTACGAGGAGAATGTGTGTGTTGTGTGCTTGAGAAGATGAGTTTAAAAGGGCAGTGGAAAAGAAGAGAAGTCAAGTTAAGATGGTGTTTGAAGAGAGTTGGAAAATATGATGAATCTGAATCTGTGAGTGGATTCATTAGTGATGTTACTATTAAGTGTTCTGTTTGCAGAGCCAACTTTGGGAGCAGGTTCTTTTGCCTGTATGGGCTTTGGGAACAGAGAAGATAAGAGAGTCAGAGACTCAAAGATAAAAGAATGGTGCATGTTGATAAGAAGAAGAAGAATGATTGGTGAGAAAGAAATAGACTTTTGAATTGGGAAATGGAACTTCTTTTTCCTCTTGTCTTGAGATTAGCAGTTTTGCTTCCTCTTGCTTGGCATAAACAAAAACTTCCTCCTTTGTTAATGTTGACCATACCTTTAATGAACTTTAAATACTTCTCCATTTGTCTTTTAATTTGGCACAGATAAGGATCATAAGATTAGTTCCTCATAACAGGTGTAATTGAGATACATATACTAACAAAACACATCAAGGACTATGAAACTGATGCCAAATTGGTGTAAGGTAAAAAGTAATGATGCTCCATAACTTGATAAGCAAATGGGTGTCACTGTGATGATGGGTGGGTCATGCCTGTCTGCATGACTGATAGCACCGCCCACTTCCCCTTGCAACTTGTCTCCACACCTAGTTGGTTACTTCTCATTCACCCAACAATAAATGTAGTAAGCCATTGGGCTTTATGTTTATGGGTTTATCTCGGCCCATTTTTAGCTTTGCTCCTATATATATATATTTTCTATTCCCATATTAGAATTAGAACATTTGCCAATAACAATGAATCTGAACCAATGTCCAAGTGCGACAAAAACTTGAAGTACCTTTGATGAAACTTTTCTTTGTAATAGATAACAAAATAAAGTTAAGTAACAATACCGTCAGAAGCAAGAAAGAAAGGGAAGGGTAGGTAGCATGAGACGATGGAAAGACATTTAAGAGGAGGTTAGGTAAGAAGAGTGGTGGAGGATGAAAAGAGTATGTGAGTAAGTGTTAAACGCAAAAGCCACGTCACTTCTTTCTCTGTCTCTCTTTTGTTTGTTGGTTTAAATTTAATTTTGAAGATTTGGTGGTGTGGTAGCTGCTACTAGCTACCGTCTTCTCTTCTCACAACATTTGCATACTTGTTCAACATTGTCTACCTTTATATATATCTACGAACCTATCTTTTGTGACTCTTAATTATTGTCAGAAGGGTCTTAATACTAAGCTCACTCTTCGCATCTGGTAATTTTCTTAAGCTCTTTCTTTCTTTTTGTTTACAAGTCTTGAATCGTCATGCAATCTTTGCACATTACCATGCAAAGCTCCAAGACTAAACTCCTATTTTTTGTATCTGAAAATTAACAAAACGGCACGTAGTTTCTTCCTAAATAAACCATACTCGTGTCGTGGTCAATGGATTTAATAAAACACATCGGTTTAGTTAATGTCTAGTCAGAAAAGCGGTCGCAAACGGAACTATTTTTTTTAAGCCGATTTTTCTAAAATTGGTCTAACCGACACTTAAATGCAAAAACATAATGCTGTTCCCTTCCCTTTACTAAAAACGCCGTGTAGTTTTTTCTTTTCCTACGTGGCTGGTTCGGTAGTCATTGACGTGTCTCATCCCCGTCTCACTACTAACGGCGTGAGTTTCTGTCGGGGAGAGAAAACATGAAAAAAGAAACGGACCTAACCGTAACGCCGTTAACTTTCTATTTACCAAACGACAAGACATGGTTGGCAAATGACAACTAACCAAATCAGACCAGAGTGGTGGAGGAGAATTATTGAGGATCGCCTTAATATACTTCGGAGAAGTCTTCTCAGTTTCAAACTAAACAAAACCCAGTTCAGTTTTCCCAGAAAGTTTTCTCCTTTTTTTTTTCTTTTGAATTAAGCTACAAAAAAAAACAAAGTTCTTAAGCTTCACAGTGAGCAAAAGAGATGGAGAAAGCTACAGAAAGACAGAAGATTTTGCTTCGTCATCTCAATCCACTTTCTTCTTCTCCTTCTTTACTTCCTCTTATTACTGATAAACCTACTCTTGTCTCTGTAAGTTTAAGTTTCAGTGGAATCTTTGAGCTTTGACTTTCGTTGACTTTTCGTTGACTTTTCTTATTGATGTAAGTTGTTTAGATTATTGATTAGATTGTTAAACACTATAGATTTTGAAACTGTTGTTAGGCTGTAATAATAAACCTACTCTTCTCTCTGTAAGTTGAAGTTTCTTTAATCAGTGAGTTTCAGTGGAATCTTTGAGCTCTGCGTTGACTTTTCTTATTGATTAAGTTGTTTAGATTTTGAAACTGTTTCTTGAAACTTGTTGCTTAGGCTGTGAACTGTGCTGCTGAGCTTTCACCAATGGCTGCTTTTGGAGACGACGTTGTGATCGTTGCGTAAGTCACTCACTAACCAACTCTTTTTTGAGTTACTTCACTTCTTGATTCTTCATTGACTCCTGTTCAGGGCGTATCGCACTGCTATCTGCAAAGCTAAACGTGGAGGATTCAAAGATACTCTTCCAGATGATCTTCTAGCTTCTGTACTCAAGGTTAAAAAAAAACCTTGCTTGTAGTGTTACATTGAGAGTAGTATTATCTTGTTTCTTATGCTTTTTTGTTCTTGATTAGGCTGTGGTTGAAAGAACATCTTTGGATCCAAGTGAAGTTGGGGATATAGTTGTTGGTACTGTGATAGCTCCTGGTTCTCAGAGAGCCATGGAGTGTAGAGTAGCTGCTTACTTTGCTGGCTTTCCTGGTAAACTTTAAAAACATATGTTTTCTTTACACTCTTATCTCACTGTTTGTTGATGATATGGGTTCACACTTCTTTTATGAGGTAGACTCTGTGCCGATTAGAACTGTCAACAGACAATGCTCATCAGGACTACAAGCAGTTGCTGATGTTGCTGCTTCCATCAGAGCTGGATATTACGAAATTGGTTAGAAGATTCACTCTACCTTTAGTCAGATAGTGTAGGCTAGATTGACTCTCTCTGAGCTTTATTTATGTTGTGTTAACTGCACAGGTATTGGAGCTGGAGTGGAGTCAATGTCCATTGATCATACTGCTGGAGGCGGCTTTCACTCCACAAACCCAAGAGTATGTTATCTTAATGAATGTGTTATAAAGTCACTCAACAAGGAGAGTTTTGTGATGATTTTGTGATGGGAACAGGCACAAGAGTTTCCTGGAGCTCGTGACTGCTTGCTTCCAATGGGAATCACTTCTGAAAACGTTGCAGAAAGATTCGGTGTCACAAGAGAAGAGCAAGACATGGCTGCGGTTAGCTTTTTTTTAACCCCCTTGTTTCTCACTTTTGTTTCATATTCTCAATACTGATTCAGTAAGAAACAGGTGGAGTCTCACAAGCGTGCAGCAGCTGCAAATGCGTCAGGGAAACTCAAGGATGAGATAGTTCCTGTTGCTACTAAGGTAATCTCCAAACTTGATTTTAAACCCTTTTTTGGTTAGAGTTTTTTCTATAAACGATTGTTGTTGAGACAGATTGTTGACCCGGTGACAAAAGCAGAGAAGCCTATTGTTGTTTCTGTGGATGATGGTGTACGTCCAAACTCAAACATGGTGGATTTGGCAAAGCTGAAGACAGTCTTTAAACCTGATGGCTCCACCACAGCAGGTGAGGAAGATCTTTCCACCTTTCACAGTTTCACTGACATAAGTCTGATCAATAGACTGAAGCATTTGTGTATATTGAGTAGGTAATGCAAGTCAAATTAGTGATGGTGCTGGAGCTGTACTGTTGATGAAGAGGAGCTTGGCGATGAAGAAGGGACTTCCCATTCTTGGAGTATTCAGGTGAATGAGTATAGACAAACTTGTCAAACATTTTGACAGTTCAAGAAACAGTCTGATTCCAAAAACATTGCAGGAGCTTTGCTGTTACTGGTGTGGATCCGGCTGTAATGGGTATCGGTCCAGCTTATGCCATTCCTGCTGCAGCCAACCTTGCAGGACTTAAAGTTAGTGATATCGATCTGTTTGAGATCAATGAGGCATTTGCATCTCAGTATGTGTACTGTTGCAAGAAGCTAGAGCTGGATGTGGAAAAGGTCAATGTTAATGGAGGAGCGATTGCTATTGGCCATCCTCTTGGTGCTACAGGTTAGTACTACTACCACAAGCTTCACTTACCATGTAACATGCAGTATTAGTACAAGCTAACAGAGTTTATCTCTTATGTTCAGGAGCTCGGTGTGTTGCAACATTGTTGCATGAGATGAAACGGAGAGGGAAAGACTGCCGTTTTGGAGTGATTTCAATGTGCATAGGCACAGGTATGGGAGCTGCAGCAGTTTTTGAGAGAGGAGACTCTGTTGATGACTTATCCAATGCCCGTGTTGCTAATGGGAGTGGTCACTAGAACAAGGTTGAATAATGAGAAGCAATGAAGCATTTGAGTCTAATAAAAAGTGTGTGAAGCTATAAGCTCTTTCACACATTGTTGAAACAATGAACAATATTTCATTCTGAGTTTAAAAAGTAACAACTTAGTACTTGCGTGTGAACAAAGTAGTCACATCTAAAACCACAGTTACATCTTTCCTCACACAAGTCTTTTAACATGCTTATCAATACTCGCAAATCTCATTCTGCATCTTCTGGAGCTCCACCAGGCACCAACTGCATCACAACATTTTCAATAACCTTAGAATGCAAATGGTTAAATGTTCATTTCATGGAAAATAACAGACAACAAAACTCTAAAGTTAAAGACAAGGAATGGTTACTCTTAAAATAGTTCCAGTATAAAGTAGTAACCAATTTTCAAATAATCAGTTCCAATCCTAACCTAAACAGATAAAAACGAGTGTTGAGACTTACAATGGCGATGTTGTTGCCATTGAGAAGAATCTGATCAAGCTTAGTAACCCTTCTTCCTTCTGCTGTGATCTCACTGCACAAAGTGACATGCTTAGTTAGTGACACACTGCTGGTTATACACTTAAAGTTAAGAAAATAGTAACAGCACGAATCTTTGAACTCTTAACTACAAAGTAGAAAAGTCTTAATCCATGTAAACTAAAAACACACACACACACAATAGTTCCAATCTAAAACAAAAAGATCTGATCTTCAGTGTCATTCTTCAGCAAAGCAATGAACTTTTAAATGGACCTGTTTACAATCAATTATTGTGTAAACTAAAAAGATCAAAAGCAAAAAGATCCATGTAAACTAATCCATGTATTCTAAAAACACACACACAATAGTTCCAATCTAAACCAAAAAGATCTGATCTTCACATCATCCTCAGTGTCACATTCTTCAACAAAGCAATGAACTTTAATGTAAACTACTAAAGCACAAAGCTTACGCATCAGTTAAACGTCAGTATTGGAACTTGAAACTGATCTATTTACAATCAACTTACTGAAAAACCCTAAAACTCACACAAAAGCATTTACAATGTTTACACATCAGTTAAACGTTCTATCTTTAATGTCATTCTTCACCAAAAGCAACAAACTTTAACTAATACAATGCTTCAGAATCACTGAAACTTAAAAACTGAAACCCTAAACAGAGAGAGAGAGAGACTTACTACTCAGTGACATCCTCAAGAACCATGTTAACATAAACATCAAACCCTTTCAGAACACCCACAAGCTCCTTATCTCCTTTCATTATCACCCAAATCCTCGATCCTATACACCTGTCGATTAGCTCTGCACAAAAAAAAAAAAAAATTAGAATCCAAAATCTTCAGATCCAATTTTTCAATTAGGGTTTTGAGTGTAAAGAGAGAAGAAGAGTTCTTACCTGATGGAAGAAGCTGCGATGGATTGTTACTCGCCATTACGAAGAGAGAGAAGTGATGAAGAGAGCGTTTTTGATTTTTTTCTCTGCTTTTTCGATTTTAGGGTTTGGTTTTAGAGACGATGACGATTCGTGTACAGTGTTTTTAACTTTTGAGAAATACGCGAGAAAGCCCTCGGATTATTTATTGTTTTGTTAAATAGACCTTTAACTATAGAAACTTTAATATATTCAACCTTCAATCTAATTTAAGTGTTTGCAATCAACTTGAGGTGATTAGGGTGTGAAATGGAAAAGAATTATTTGTGTATAAAAAGTCTTATTGGTCCAATAGTTTGAATAAATATCTATTAATTAATGATTTTAGAATTTGGATATTTATTATTAGTTATATATGCTAATAAAAAGATTTTACTTAAAAAACTATAAAATGGTTAACAGAATCACTAGTTAGACGTCTATTTTCGTAAAACAATTAATAAATATAATCAACATGTATACATTCTCCTAAAGTATCTGTATAATATTATTTGAGAAGTCAATTTCTTATGTGTCGCGCTCATGTTAACTTTCACGATAGTTGAATACTATGATACCCCTAATGAATTAAAAAAATACATTTATATTATAATTTTCTTTCAAAATTTTCCAAATTACAATATAAAATAAAAAGGAAACGTTTACAAAGTTTACAAAACTATTTAAAACGAAAATATAAGTATATAGAAATATGGTTTCATTAAAAAGGAAAGTTCACAAAATAGTAATATTTAATTTAAATTGATTTTAAATAACATAAAATATACTTTTGAAGTAATAAAATACTTCATATCTATATCTTCTTAGATGAAAAACAATATTTGTATATAATGTGATTCCATAAAAAAAAAATTCAAACAACAAATCTTGATATTAGAAAAAGAAATATTTTTTTTCTTTAAAAAAATAATTTAAACAATAATATATATATATATATATTAAAAGTAATTATGTTTTGGTATATATCTATCTATTTTATTAGATGATTACATAAAATAATTAAGTAACATAAACTGATATATGTTTAATTGATTTTTTTATAATTTGTATTCTTGAAATATATATATATATATATATATATATATTTTTTTTTAATTTTTTAGTATATTTATTTGACTATAATATCTCACAATACAACAAAACATATAAATTCTATTTTACTTATATAATAAAATTTCTCACAAACAATAACATTTTTACTGCATATTTTAACAGATATTAAAAACAAAACCAAAAATAAATTTTAATAATAAACATTTTTTCATTAAATAACTACAAGTATTTTAAAATATCATAACACTATATAATTTAACGAAGTAAATATAATATATTTTAATTGTTAAAATTATATGTTTTCTTAATAACTCTTTTGATTTTTAATTTTCTGTTTTTATGTTTGTAGAACTTAATATAACCATAATTAAAATACTTAAGCAAATCAGAATCCTTATTTTTAAAATTATTTTTAAAAAATTCGTTTTTCACCCAATCAATCTAAATATTGTAAATATTGATATGTGTTCATAAGCTTCTAAAATGTATTAGTTATTTATGTATGTAATTTAGAATCAAACAGTTTAATTTTTATTTTTTTCTTTTTAAGCACAAAAAATCTTAAGTTATACATAATCTTACTAGATATAATTATATTTCTAAGATAACAACCGGCATAAATGCAAATAAGAATTAATCAAAAATTTAATATATTTAAGATAAAAAAGATTATAGTTGAATTCAAAGAAATAGATAGAATCTAATATATCCAAATGATAACTAAATCAACTGTAAAAACAATGAAACTGACAAAATAATACATATCTAAAATTATACATATAATTAAATTAATATAATATTATTAATATAAATTATACATACAAATTATAAATTAATTTAAAATTTAAAGTAAATATCAATAAATTATTATAATATATTTATTTTATAAATATTTATGTCCGTGCATGAGAACGGGAAAATCACCTAGTAGGTATCTATTGTCAATGTCATAACTCTAAAATAGATTAGCATAAAAAAATTAAAGTTGATATGTGACAAAGAAATCGTTATTCATTTATGTATGTTAACTGATTTAAAATTTCAAATATAATTTATAAATTCAAGAAAATTTACTAGTTTCTAAATCTAACATGTTTGATTTTAATTGGTATTTATAAATCTTGATTTAGAGACAAGTTTTTTCTTGGATTTGAATTTCTGTATTTTTAATAAAAAAAATCCTCCAAATCTATTCAAAGTCAATGGTAAATCCGTTTTATTGAATTGGTACTTTGAATTAACATGTATAAATCATAAAACTAATGACACATGATTTAAGTTAATATTAATAAAATATTAATATAACACATGATTTAACATAAATGTTAAAATTATATATTAAATATCATTAAATTTCATTTGAATTTTCAAGTTTATTAAAATGCATAACATTATAATCTCCCCCAAGACTACAAAGACCATCAAATACATTTTATTTCCAAGTCGATCAAATTCTATCTTGCTTAAAAATAAGAAATATTCAAGTAGTTATTGAAAGAACATGACAGACCCAAAACAAATTAAGCGAATCATGTAATGTCAAGTATATTTGTCTTTCATTTTGATGACCAACTCCATAGATATTTGGGTACGAGTCTCATTAAGATCAGTGTGTTCTACTGGTTGGTCATTAGTGATCTTTTAACAGTGGCCTTAAACTATCAAGTTCATTTTATTAAATGACACTGCAAATTATTATGCTATATGTATATATCACAAGCTTGTCTATTTGGATATAATTTACAATTTACAAAAAAAATTCTCACTGATGAAAATTTAAGTTTTAAAATCCATAAAAATGTTAATGACCGAACTATGGCATGATCAATTTTTGCATGACAAACAACCCCTTTTTGTTTCATTTATCAACTAAAAAGAGTTGGTTCGAGACCGCTTTATATGGATTTACAAAGTAGTTTCCTGCATACTCCTCAAACACTCTTTCCAAGAATAAGTCTTAGTCTTGTAAGTTACCATGAATCTAACAACTTTCATATCAACATGTGATCTTTTAGCTATCTACAACCCTGTTCTTTGCTGCTTGTTTAATAATACTGAAAGTGAGTTATTAAAATCTTCATGATCCTAATTACAGTGAATATTGAACATTTATTTGATACTTTGAAATTGTAAGAAAATATTATTCCGGTAGTGATGTTTCCTATTCTAGTAAAGCTAAGATTTAGGATTTATGTATTTATACTGCCTTAATTCATGTAAAAAATAAATAATGATAATTGTAAAGAGAATAAATCATAGAATAATCAATTGTACAAACATCATCCACAATTGATCAACAAAAAACATTCATGGAGTAAGGCATTTCAGATTTAAGATAGCTAGAAATTCTTGAATGAGCAGATGAAGTATTAAAATTAGTTGAAGGAATTAAATGTAGATATTTCATATTTCTATCACACAAAATAAGATTAACACATGAATGAATTTGCTTCAAGTGTTGTTTACTAATTTTTTTGTTTTCTTATTAGTGAGAGTATCTTAACACCACAA